TGTGTGTGTGGGTCTGTCTGTCTGTCTGTCTGTCGGCCGGCCCCGGCTCCCACCGTGTGTCCGTGTGACCGCCCGTGCCCATCGGTCCGGTTGAGTACACGTTCCCCCTCAGTTCGGCATCGCTGTGACTCCCCCGGGGCAGCCCGAGGGCCCCGTCCCCAGCTCCGAGCGCTCTTCCATCCTGCTGGGACTGCCAGAGCTGGAGCTGAGCTCCGCGGGCTGCTGTTCTCACAGCGGGATAGAGAGAATCACAGAACGTCCTGAGCTGGAAGGGACCCCCAAGGATCATCAAAGTCCAGCTCTTGGTCCCGCACAGGATGCTCCGCTCTGCCTGAGGGCATTGTCCAAGGGCTCCATGAGCTCTGCCCTGGGGAGCCTGTTCAGTGCCCAACCAGTCTTTGGGGCAAGAACCTTCTCCTGATATCCACCTGAAACCTCCCCTGACACAGCTCCATGCTGTTTATTCAGCTCCTGTCAGGGGTTTCCAGAGAGCAGAGATCAGCTCCTGACCCTCCACTTGGTCCCATGAGGAAGTTTTAGACAACTTTGAGATCTCCCCTCAGTGTCCTCTGGGCTGAACACACCAAATTCCCTCAGCTTCTCCTTATACACCCCTCCCAGACCCTTCATCATCTTCATGTCCCTCCTTTGGATGCCTTTTAACAGTTTAATGTCTTTCTGGTATTGTGGTGCCCAAACCTGCCCCAGAACTAGAAGTGAGGCCACCCCAGTGCAAGGTACAGAAAGTGCAGATGAGGTCAGTGAAAGGAAGGCTTGCAGAAGCAGGGGCTGTGCTGTGTCTGGGTTCAGCAGGTACCTGGTCACAGAAGGGACATCTCTAGTGTTGACAGTCCTGTTGTCCTTTTAGGAACAAACACTCTCTTGTTGCAGCAGTGAACAGCAGAACCCTTCCTGCCTCTCTTTCAGACATGGCTCCATACTACGAAGCCCTGTGCAAGTCTCTGGAGTGGCAGATGGACACGGATCTGCTGAACAAAATGAAGAAAGCCAATGAGGAGGAGCTGAAACGTCTTGACAATGAATTAGAGGATGCAGAAAAGATCTTGGGGGAGAGCGAAATCCGGGATGCAATGATGGCCAAGGCTGAGTACCTGTGCAGGATTGGGGACAAGGTTGGTGACAGCAGAGGCTTTATGGACTCCTAGAAAACAGTGCATGGGAACCCTGCTAGCTGGGCAGGTCCCAGTGAGCACTGGGGGACTTGCAGAGCATTTTCTTTATGGCACAGGTCACACGTGGCTGGCAGGTAGGGGAGACTCTTACTGAAATATAAATTATCTAGAAACAAAACAGTCCTTGAAAGAAATTTTTTTTCTTGACAATGAGAAAAGTTTGCAGACACCATTATTTACTTTCCTTACACTTTTAGACTTTTCTAAGCTATTTAGATTGTGCAGCTGAATTTCAAGTTACAGAGTAGATTTTCATAGTCTTTAGCTTTAAAAGATATGTGAGGAACAGCTTTTCTAACTTGATTTAAACTTGGATACATTAAGATTATTCAGAATGCTTAATGTCAAAATTACAACTACCAGTGGGAGACAACACATGTTCTTGCAAGAGGTATTTTGTGAATGTTCTGGGTGCTTTTAACATTCTTACAGCAGCAAATTGTGTTTTGCCAGGAGGGAGCTCTGACTGCATTCCGCAAGACTTATGACAAAACTGTGGCCTTGGGACATCGCCTGGATATCGTGTTCTATCTGCTCAGGATTGGCTTGTTTTACATGGACAATGACCTCATCACTAGGAACATTGAAAAGGCAAAAAGGTACTGCTGGGGTTGTCTGAATGCACTAAAGCATTTTGGAAACAAGCTGTAAAAAAAGGAATGGAAGATAAATACTTTTTTGTGCAGAAATGTTTGGGACTGGTTGTGAGAGAGAATCAGAGTGATGGGTGGGTGTTACTTTGTTTTAGAGCACTTCTTGCTCCTGGATTTTTTAATGGGGCCAAGGGAAAGGTTAAGATTTTGTGGTGTCTGTTTTCTAGCAGCTGGCTCAATTTGTATTTGTAGCAGAGCTCCCAGTCCCTCTTGGGGTGTGGCTGCTCCCAGTGGCACCCAGCTGGCTGTGTAAAGAGGGAGCTTTTCCTTTTGGAGCAAGAGTGGCATGGTGTATTTTGGTGCCACTGGTTGCTTCACTGGTCTCTGTGCTCCCACTGTTTTGAACCTCAGCAGTTCCTGTAGAAAGCTGTGGTTCCATTCTCTCTGCTGCTGCCATGAGACACCAAGGCAGAGGAGGTTCCCACTTCCCTTGTTCCTTGGGCAGGGATAGTTTGTGTTGCCTTCTCAGCAGTTTTGTCTCATCCCTGCCCTTCTTACATCCACACCAGTTTTGTGCAATCCTTAAAAAGAGGCAACCTGAATCTTTTTTCCTATGCTGCACCTTTGATTTTAGCAGCAAAGGCAGTGGAAATCTGTTGCCACAGTCCAGGCTGACAGTAATATTTACCTATACATCCACAGAGACTGTTGTCACAGCTGAAGAGGCTGTAAACTTTTCCTTTCAGCTGAAACTTGCACTGTGGAAAAGCCTCTGGCCTCTCCTGTCCCAAGGAAGCCACTTTCCAACACCAACTGTACAAAGCCTGGGCTGTTTCAGCAAGCTCTAACATAAACCAAGTTATCACCTCTCTAATCTCATGGTATCAGTTGATTTGTACCTGTTTCATACAACTTATTACATGACACATTTACATGAGTAAATATTCTTTGTTCTGTTTTAAGTCTAATAGAAGAAGGAGGAGACTGGGACAGAAGAAACCGTCTCAAGGTGTACCAGGGCCTTTACTGTGTAGCCATTCGGGACTTCAAACAAGCAGCAGAGCTGTTCCTTGATACAGTTTCCACATTTACCTCCTATGAACTGATGGATTACAAAACCTTTGTAACATACACTGTCTATGTCAGCATGATTGCCCTGGACAGGCCTGACCTGAGGGAGAAGGTAAGGGGAGCATGTGGAGCACTGCTGCAAACTGACAGAGCCTTAACCTGTTCATCTGGAGGGGCTGGTGGTTAAAGATGTGTGTTTGTTTCAGGTGATTAAAGGAGCAGAGATCCTGGAAGCCTTGCACAGTTTGCCAGCTGTACGGCAGTACCTGTTCTCTCTCTATGAATGTCGTTATGCAGCCTTTTTCCAGTCCCTAGGTAAGGCTGGGTTCTGTCCCTCAGCACTGTTTCAGATCCTACACAACTTTTGTGGAGAAGTTACAGTCTAAAACTAGAGCAGAAAAAACAAACTATAGACATTTTTGAACAGTTTGACCTAAAATTTTCTGCTTTGATTTTTCAAACAAAGAAAGACAAATTTCTCATCCAATGAGCCTTGTGAAAGGTCACATCTGATTAGGTGAAAAAGCACTTTGAAAATGGCTATGAAACACCATCTTACCTGAAGAGCCAGATCAGGAAAGATTTGGAAACTTTCTGTGTAAAAGGGTGACACCCAAAAAAAGCTCTTCAGAAAACCCTCATTCTTGCCAGTTCTCAGACTGCTTGTTTTTCTTCTGTGAGAGAATACAAGAAAATGAGATATTTAGAAAAATAAAGGAAGAGCCCTTGATTTTGTGGAAAACTAGGCCTGATGTTAAAGGGCAGCATCTTCCTATTGCCAGCCTCATCCCAATGAGAACCGATGCTGTGAAGGAAAAAAAATCACTTCAGTGCCTGGAAATCCTTGCAACTAATTTAAGAGCTAGTAGCAGAAAATTAATGTTGTGTCCTTATACAGGTGTGGGTAACAATGTTTCCTGAAGGAGTTACATACCAAGTCTGCTTGTTACCCAGCTCTGCGGGCGGCAGGTCCAGCTCTTGCCTTCAGAGAGGTGGTCTCTCCCCCTGAAAGAAGGATGCTGTGCATTTTTACAGGCTCCCATTAGCTCTGCCACAACATTGTTTGCATGTTCTTACACTCGTGGTTGCAGAACTGATACAGATTACATGAGTTTACTTCTCTTAGTGCAGAATCCCTTTCATATCCTGAGGAGTGCAAGAAAACAACATAGTTATGGTCACACGTAATAACTGGTGCCATGTCTTTTGTTTACATAACTGATATGTGACATTTCTTAGAAGTTATTGACTTATTTTATTTATTTTGCTTCTTTCTTTCTCTTCTCAGCTATTGTAGAGCAGGAGATGAAGAAGGACTGGCTGTTTGCACCCCACTACCGATACTACGTGCGGGAAATGCGGATCCACGCCTACAGCCAGCTCCTCGAGTCCTACCGCTCCCTGACACTAGGGTACATGGCAGAGGCCTTTGGAGTCAGTGTAGAATTCATAGATCAGTAAGTTCTTGGCCTTTCCCAGTTCACAGACATCTCCCTTTATACCCTTTAAATATTTATGGTGATCTCATTGCGAGGAAAAATCTTTGTTCACTTGTATCCTAAATATGCCAAGTTACGTTTCTATGGAAGAGTGTGAGAAGCTGCTATTTTATTAATTACTCTGTTCTTTATATTGCTGTATTTAGTGACCTCCACATGCTATGGAACTTTAGATTTTAGACAGCTTCATTCACAGTTATGCAAAATCTGAGCTGTTCCAGCTTTGGGGATCTGCACATTTTTGTACTCTGCCAGTCTCCTTCTCTCATTTTCCTTGGTTTCTGTTATGTGGACAGGATCTGATGTTTTTCACTTAAATTAAGCATACTCTGCAGTTCCAATTTGAAATTATTTTCTAGAATAAAACCAGCAGATTTAGATCATGATAAGAACTAAGTGGTGAGTGAAGTAAGAAACTGACTTTTACTCTGTGTACATGAAGCACATTATTTTCAAATGTCTTCAAAAGAGTTATTCTTGTTTCAGAGAGGTTTCAGATTTTCTAACATAGAAAACTTAAGAAATATTAAAGTGCTTGAATTATTCAGAAATTAGTAAGTGTTTCAAGAGAAACCAAATACCATTTAACTCAAAAGTAATTTTCTTAAAGTCATTCTATGCTTATGTTTCCTGTCATTTATAATGATTTGTAACTTACCTTACTGTTGAGCATAGGAATATTTTCCTCTACCATCAGTGCTGTAGACCACCAGTTGATTAAACAAAACAATAATAATAAAATTTTAAAAAGCATTAAAAAAATTAAATATTATTGAGATACTTTTCTAATTAATTGACTGGCATGAAGATATTTACCTCAGGATAAATTCCAAATAGCCGCTCTGCATTACTGCTGTTGATACAAAGCTCAGTGATAAGTTTCACTAACTCAAGTACAACACTTTGGCCTGAGGAGAAAAAACTAAGAGGTTTTGTGTTCAGGTCACTAAAATGATTGTTTTTGTGTGGAATGTCCAAGCCTTAATAAGATGAGGATGCATAAGATACCTGATGAAGATCCATAGGCTGTTGCTTCAGAAATAGAGTGTGGTATAACAGCAGTTTCAGTGCTCTTAGGTCTACAAGGCCCTGGTGAAACTAACTTTTTTTAGAATTTAACTAACTTTTTTTCTTTATTTAGGGAGCTTTCAAGATTTATTGCAGCTGGGCGATTGCACTGCAAAATAGACAAAGTAAATGAGATTGTAGAAACAAACAGGTATGTAACAATTCCTGGAGGTTGTTTTTAACAGACCAGTTGAATTCTATATATTTTGATGACATTTACTACAGAAATGTTTAATGCTTTGGTATAAATCATATTCTCAGTTCTAACCCCCTGTTTTTTCCCCCATGATTCCTAGGCCTGATAGCAAGAATTGGCAGTACCAAGAAACCATCAAGAAAGGAGATTTGCTGCTAAACAGAATTCAGAAACTTTCCCGAGTAATTAATATGTAATTTTTTTAATGCAAGGGAATGCAAAATTTAGATGTTTAAAACATTTTGGAAGTAACCTATAAATATATTGCATAACTTGGTATACTGTAGGGAAAAAAATAACTAGCAAGAAAGGTAGTGTTTTTACTTTCCACTTCATTATGTACACACTGTTCTGTTCTGGTGTATGGAACCCAGTTCATTTATTAAATGTATGATACCGTTGGTGATCTCTTGTAATAGACTTTGTTCCTTTCCTTGCCTGTATATTAGTGTTCCATGTTGAACAGCAAAGCAGGCTCACTGCCTGTGAACACAGGGAGCTCATGGCCACTTCATGCTTGCTCTTTTAAGACTTTCATATTGGAATCAGAGGTGAAAACAATCAGTTGCATAACATTAACATGATCTAAAGTTTTAGTGAAGAGTGCACCCTGTGTCCAGACAGGAAGGAGTCTTGCAATGAAGGGATTACAGCTTAAGGCAGAAGGAATAAGGATGCAAGTGATTGGGGTGAAGCAATGATACAGCCACAGAAACTGCAGGGCTAAAACTTTGGGAACAACTGGAACAGAAGTAGCCTCTCTCTTTAAACTACTTTTTTGCAAGCTGTTGAAAAGGAAGCCAGTATGTGAGCAAAGCATTACATTTGTAATTCCTGCCTGAGTTAGATCTGCAGATGTCAGTGATGGTGGGAGCTGTGGAAGGGCCTGCTGCAGTCTGGCAGCTGATCAGGTACTGCAGGGGTCACAGTTCCTTTCCTCCCAGCTGCTGGGGAATGAATGTGTCACTAGGCTGCTGCCATGCTGATGACACATGGTTCCTGCCTCCAGCAGCAGCTGCTGACCCTGCTGGCCTGCCTTGAGAGGTTTTCTCCCTCCTCCCAAAGAAGTCCTGTGAGTTCTGTGAGCTTTTGATGCCACTGCATTTGGAACATTTACAGCCTGTGTGCATTGCAGTTTCAGTGCTGGAAGGAACCCCAGCAGGTAGGTGTACCAAAGAGCAATCCTAGCATTTGGAAGCTACTGTGCCACAGACAGGACTTGGAATTTCCCCTGCCCACCCCTCCCATTGCAAGGTCACAGAGGTCTCCTGTCCTGGAATTGCTGCTGCCTGTCTGAGGTTGGACCCCTTGGTGCTGAGGGACCACTTCTATTCTCTGATGAACTCTTCTGAAACACAAAATACAACCCCATGATTCTGGGGTACTTTTACTACTTACTGGAAGCTGTTTTGGTTGTTTCCCCCTCCAAGAAGCAGCTATTTAGCCAGAGTTTAAATATTTACATTTCAGATAGTACCAATTAGAAAAAAATTCTCATCTTTCTTCAGAGTTATAAACAAGAATCTAGTTTACCATGTGTTCAGCTCTGAGTCTGTTTCCTGTGTTCACACAGATACCATTTCCTATTAAGTTTTAATTGATAAAACCCAATATTCAGACTTTTCAGACCTGCAATAAGCTCTCTTGTTTTTCTCCATCTGTTCCTTGCCAGATAAGTAGAGCTAGCTAGGAAGGCTTTAATCAGTCTGACTTTTGGGAATATCTCCACCTTCCATAGGTGCAGGTGTGAAGCCTGTCAGAAAAACCATACTGTCTTCATGCCTTCACTGACTTGAGGAATTTCTATTTGGTGCATAAATTTACCTTTCCAGCATATTTATACATGAAGTGACCTTAATTAACTGCATCAAAGTTTCCACTCAGCATATGTATTGCCATATATTTCTTTAACTGTAAATTAAAGGGAATAGAAACCTACTCAAGAAAAATCAGGCTAAAAGAGGCTTCATGTGTTCCAGAGAAATCCTGCTGCTCTCTTAGTGTAGGTAAGAGCAGCAGAAAAAAAATGGAAATCCCTACTCTGTGTGGGAAAAAAAAAGCATTGCTAAAGAGTTTTAGTGCTCTAAGATACTTGCAGAGCTATTCATCATTTCATCTTAACTGTGGCCATCATCCTGTGGAAGCCAAGCACTTCAGAGTCTGGTGTTCTCTGCTCAGGTGGGTGAAAAATAACGTTCCAAACAGAAGTACACAATCCTACTACAGCAAAGACCCTTTAAAGATCCCAACTTGCCTGCACATTTCCTGGTGCCAGCCTACATCCTGTAAAAGAGGATCCAGGGAGAGCCTGGAGATCTTCTGGACAAAGATTTTTGTGCCACAGCCTGGTAGGAAAGAGTCACAGCAATTTTAGCTGAACCTTTTAAGGCTCTGTGCAGCAGTTCAGCCTGTAAGCCATGCCAAATAGTGGTGGGATAAAATAGTGGTGGAATAAAGGTGAAAGGCAGCACCTCCTGAATCCCACAGCTGGAGGCACACAGTTTAGCCAGCATGGCTGTTCACATTGTTCTCCTGAAAAAAAAAAAAAAGGAATCTGATGCACAAGTTTTCCAAAGAGTAAGTAAATGCTGGGGGGTCCTGGGTGGTCAGACCTTGTGCTGATCAAGGGCATAATTTTGTCTATTCTGTTGTTTTAAAATGCTTTCTTCCATCTCTATGTCAAATCAGAAGCATTAGAATTTCTACTTCCTGAAGTAATTTCAAGTTGATTTTTACTGTCCCGTGATCATGTTAGTTTTATATTCTGTTTATCTGATCTCATAATTTCCCTTTATTTAACTCTGATTGTGAGCAGCACTCCAGACACAGGCCTTCATGCCTTGCTTTTGACACCTTTCCATGGATTTATAGTCCACATGCCAAAGTTGTACATTCTCTCTTGTAATTTAAGCTTGGGCAGTTCCTTGAGCTAATGCCATTCTCCAATTTCGCTTTGCAAGGCTGACTTGACCCTCTCTACAAGGCAGCCAGAACCAGACAGAGATTTCAAGCCTCAGCTTGAACTTCTCTCTGCAATTCATTCCCTGCATTAATGGTGGGAGAGCAGGTGGGCAGGGCAGGAGATGGGGTGGTTTAGGATTTGTTAGTAAAGCTCTCATAAAAAGCAGTGGAAATGTCATTTCTGTGCAGTTTCTGGCTCACCTGCCAACACCTGGTGCTCTCTTGCTGAACACCGGGCTCCAGAGCTCAAGGTCCAGCCTTGCAGGCCAGGGACAGGGCACTGGCTTTAGGAAAAGTCACCTGTCGTGAACAGGAAAGGACTCAGGTGAAGGGAGGGACCTAAACTGCAAAATGGATAACAAAAAACTCAGCATTGTCAGAGACCACCAAACCCAAGCAGCAACACAGTCCCTGCTGATGCTGAAAAAAAGTGTTTCTGTATCAATTTGGGCACAAACATCAACACCAGCTATTCCTCATAGGCTTGGACAAAGCTATTTAACTGCATTTCTCAAGCTGTTTTTCCTCCTTAGCAATAAAGTTTCAATCCACATTAGTTTGAACAAGTTCCTTAAAGGTTTTTGAAGTTTGTTGGGTCAGCAAAACCCCAAGCATATGCCACTTTTCCATGACAAAGCTCCCATGCTGCTTGTTAGGAACGAATCCAGCGGCTAACACAGCTCTGAGCCAACGCACTGAAAAAAGCATCCAGTCAAAATAAAAAGTCCCACGGTGGATCCTACAAGCCACATGCGTTTGATTATTTGTTGCAGCAGAACGTGATAATAATGCACCAGCAGGAATTTGCATTTAAAAAAGCCAGGGCAAGCCCTGCTCTGGGTTGTGTTGGTAGTCGGTGTAAACAAGGCGCCCACGGAGCGGCGCTCCGGCCTTCGCAGAGCCCGAGGGCAGCCGGCCAACCCCGCACCCCGATCCGAGCTGCGAGCACAGCCAGGGACCGGCTGCAGCCTTTGAGCCCAGCGCTGCTCCGCCAGCGAGAGCCGAACAACCTCGGGCTCCCGGGACACAGCTCCCCAGCTTTGATACCAAATGCAAAGGGCACTGACAAGATGTACAGATACACAAACCCTACACACAGGGAACCTCTGACGCTGGGCTTTCATTGCATTGCATGCATTGGCAGTTTCCTACATCACCAAGTTACTGTCCCCAATATAAACTGGAGTATTTTCCTATGAGGCAGTCACTGATGGAGGGAAGCTTTTCCACCCGGTTCAGGGACATCTGTGCTTACTGAGTTCCACTTCAGCACCTGGTCAGAACCATTTTTCATCACTAACTCCTTCAGTGAGTGGAGTCACCAGGAGAGAGAAGCCAAGGAGCAGCTCTGCTCTGCCCCAGGGTCAGGGCTCCCTGCACTGCACTGCACCAAATGCAGCAAAGAAGGGGAGAGGGAGAACACTCCAATTCCACAGAGCCCCGAGAGCTCAGGGTTACATAGGGTGAATGCACTTTTCCCTTCCTTAACCTTGCCAGTTTTAGAGGACACTGAACCCCATATGAAATGCAGTAAAATGCAGAGTTATTCCTTCAGTGTTGGAGCAGAGTCACGAACCTGCCTGAACACGATGCCAAGCTCAGGGCTCTGCACTCCCACGCGCTCCGGGCTGTGGTCACTGCTACAGCTCTGCAGAACCAGCTGCAGCCCCAGCAGCTCGTGCAGGATGGCACAGGTGGTAAAAACTGATACTGGGAAGGAAAAGGATTTGCAAGAAGGCAAGACAAAAAAAGAAACTGAAATACTTAGTAGCACAAAGTAAACATGGAATTACTAGAGGTGCTTATTATAAAAAGATAAAGCAGAACTTGCCTGTTGTCTGAACCCCGTTGGTACCTTGCAGCATTTATTCTAAATATTAAGAAAAGCTTGTTTTAAGAGGGGAAAAAAACCAAAACCAAAACAAAATAGAGACAGAATAAAGGAAGCTTTGCCACAGATGTCACTCTGAAGTCCTGTCCCAGTAACAAGAGCTTTACTGGTTTTACAAACTGCTCCAAAATCGCCCACAACACACGAGTCCCGAGTCACATGCAGAGAAAAGCTCTGCAGGAGTGCTTAACCTGCTGAATCCACACACTGGAACTTCAAACTGTGAAAACACAGAAGACACTTTTAGGAGGAAAAAAATCCAGGAAACACGACAACTCAACATAACCACATCTGGGGCTGTAGAGGCTGCTGCTCATTATTCTGATTAGAAAATAATACGAAGTGTGAACCTAAAGTAACAGAAGGTCCTTTGCACAGAAGGAAAATGCTGCAGAGGTGACACAGGCACTGCTCAAAGCCAGGTACCAGCCCCCTGTAGGACGGGAAGCTCCGAACCTACCGGGCTGACTCACGATGCTGAGGGACAGTGAGAGAATTTGACCACATCCAATTCTCTGAAATTAGTTCACATAGGCACCAATACAGATAATGTTTTCCTTTAAT